AAAAATTGTAAGTTAAGGGGTTAAATATAGTTTTCGATTATATTATTTAAATAATTTTTTAAAATCACGTTTTTGTTGTAGATACACTATTTGGTATATTTACTAATTTCTAAACAATATTTCATTCCTCCTTTATCTTATCAGCAGTCTCTCTGAATGTTCCTGTATAAATTACAAGAATTCAGGTAAAAAATAAGAAACATAAGTCTTGAAGTTTTTAAAGCATGAATTTAATTAAATAGTTGCAGGCATTCTAACTATTTAAGAATCACTGTACATTTTTAAAATAACTTTCATGACGTCACTGTCTGCAAGAATAAATTTATGCGGCTGATATTCCAGGTAACAAAAACTTGGTCTAAAAAGATATATATAGGAATAAGACAATTTTTGAGAAATATATTGATGTATATAATTATTGTCACATATTTATATTTATTATACTAGCTTGAAATACTACCAATTGGTAGTATTTTAAAATCTTATTTAATAACTAATCACAACAATTACTGAATGCCTTTTCAGGCAGTTGTAATAAAAAAAAATATTGATGTATATTTCACATAAAGAATTTTCCCAGATATATAAAAAAAAATATTGATGTATATTTCACATAAAGAATTTTCCCAGATATTTGTGTAAGATTCGGTGACCAATATTTGACGCAGTTCAGAGATTTGAATTAAATTTAGTATAATAATTAGTACTAGCCAGTATAATAATTAGTACTAGCCAGTATAATAATTAGTACTATCCATGTTTGCTAAGTATTATTTACACGTTGTCAAATTCTCTTATTAAGACATAAGACACGTCTCTTATTTGACGTCTACAAATTCAATCTCTGTTGGATTAGTCATCGCAACTCAATAAAATATGTACATTTTGAATCTGTTTCATGACGTCAAATCGAAAGATAGTTGTAAGTATAGCATTGCATTCACTGGAACGATGACCGTTCGAATATTTTTATCCATTATTCAAAACACATGTTAATTAATCACATATGTAGATAAATCGCAATCGTTACCGTGAAAAAGTAATATGGTAACAAGATATTTCTTTGGTATATTTTTCAGTATTTTATTAGTTTATAGTAAACCGTATCACAGAAAGTTGAATTGGATTTAAATATTTTAAATTATATAGTATTCGCGCGTGAAATTGATTGATAGTTTTGTTTTTATTTAGTATCGAAGAGAGATTTTTATTGCCTCTGAATAAGATTCCAGTTAGAAAAAGAAATTCCATTAGCAATATATCTCTTGCTCTATTTTAAATTTAGCAGTAGTTTGCCTGTGGCTATCATTTTTGTAGTAGTTTGTCTACAAATATCTTACAAATATTTTTTTTAATTTTTTCTATAATATTATAAAACGTTGAATGTTATAGGCCTAATTATACATACAAAATAATTACAGAAGGCGATAAAGAGAAAAAGACATAAAAAATTAAATAAATTTAATTGCTCTAATACGCAATTGACTATAAAATACAAATTGTTCACATTATGCTTTAGTAAGTTTTTTTCACAAATATTTTGACACCAGATTTATAGAAATATGTTTTGAATGTTTATATGTATATATTTTCATTGAGTATCTATATGTCAGTTCATTTCAAATCAAATGATTCCATGTATTATGTTGACCTACATTTTACGCATACTTTATTTTGAAGAATTATATGTTTTCTAAAATTCGATTTATTTAACGTTATCACAATTCTATTAGTACAATTTTATCATTGACATATTTTTATCTGCAATTTAATTTAAATATTGAAAATAAACTGAAATATTGAAAATAATACCGGTAACTAAGAAGATTTTGGATACTGGATTATATTTTTCATTAAAAAAAAACAAATTATCTTAATTGAATTAATAAATAATTGTAATAATTAATTACAGTAAAATACAAACCTAAAACGATATTCAGCATAACACTTATATTATGTAATGCAATAATATTTTGAAAAAATACTTAAAGTCATAATTTTTTGTTTAAGGCATGATTATAGGTATATGTCTTGAAATTCTTCTGGCGGTAAATCTTTCTTTAAATATTCGGTGCATATTTTTTTTAAGTGTCAAATCTGGAAAATAATAAATAAGGGCATTATCAGGAACAAAATAAAGTTTGAAAATGATTATGATGATAAAAAAACTTGTTAAGAAAATGTTTAAAAAAATTGGATTGAAAAATTAAGAGAAATAGGAAAATAAGAGAGAATTATCGGAACTGTCGAGAGAAGTTTTATCAGGTATTATGTGTAGGAAAATGGCAAATTTAGAAACATAGTAAAATCTTTTGGCTTTTAAAAATGTAACGTTCCACTCAATTTTCTAAATTGTAATCGTGGGAGTAGATTAAAAAGCTGTCCTCCTAAATGTGTGTTATTTGTATTATACACTTCCTAGATTTTTAGCAGATGATATTAGCTCCTACACAGTGACTTTCAGTACTAAATTATTTATCATTACGAATTTAATTATTGTTTTCTGTGAAAAATATAATTTGATAATATTGTTAAAAATTACTTTTGGTCACTTTATTAGTTTTTCCCTTTTTGAACTACGTATTCGTGAAATTTATCTATCAATAGCATATAAATTCTCCTCATTCTGTTATTTTTGAAATATCGTTCAAGGTTATACAACATGCCATTATTATCTTTTCATGGAACCGGATCATAATCATATTGTTGTTACAAAATCATTTTTTTTTATCAATATTTTATCGCCAAATGCGTCGCTTCAGAAAAAATGCGCTGAACGAGAAAATGCCCAATCGTTCTGAAATTTTTACCAAGAAGAAGTAGGAATCTTATTTTGACTAATTGTAAGAAGCTTTTATTTATCAGTCACAGGCATAGTCTCTTAAATTAATAGAGATGGCCATAAATGAGGGATATAGGTCGATACTAAAAAAAAAATTGGAATTATCTCTGGGGAGTAAAAAGTAAAGATAAACATTAAAGATCATAGAATGAATGTTAAAACTGTATTAATTTTCAATGTGCTGCTCGAGAATAACAACAAGTCCGGTAATTATTCAATTTTGTGACTAATCACATTGAACCATTTGAAGTAGAAGTAACATTGGGTACATTCACTAGTGTCATTTATTTATCGGGACTTGATTCAGAGGTCGCGGGTTCGATACGCACTTCGAGCAGCATGTTGTCAGGCAGCAGTGACAACCATTTTCACTTGGAAATATAGATAGCAAGACATATCCAAGTGAAAATGGCCCTTGTCCGGCATTGCTGCCCCATTAAATGATAAGCCCTATTAAATGAATTCTAGTAATAAAATCATCAAATATGTATGGATTAACCATTGGGTTACATCTAAAAATACGAAGTAAGGAGAAGTTTCAGGCCAACAGCTCATAGGACCTAAAGTTCTATTTGCTGTTAAGATATGAGAAAAAAAAGATCATAATTTATTTAAATAATTATATTGTCTTTACATTTACTACATGTCCCCAGAAGGCAGTTGTAAATTATATGGTGAAATAAAAAAATCACACTAAACAAACAACATTTTATGATCTTACTTTAGAAAGATGTTTGCCACTTGAAGAAAATTTTCTTATTTAAAATTTCAGAGTAATGCATAACGATAATGTATGAATTTGTCAAATACAGCTGATAATTACTATAATTAGTAATTTATTGTTTTTTGTTTGTCGTGAAGAAGTCCAGATAAAGTCTAGTCTAGTTTTAAGAACTTGCATGATTTGACGATTTGAAAGAAGTATGCTTTTGTTGATGCAAAGTAGATTTTTTTTTCATATCCCACTTGTCGTTAAGCTTTTCACAATCTTTGTATTTTTAAAAATTTTTTTAAATCATTTACAGTAAAGATCAACTTACGCTGTACGTTAGTTTCTTATCATTACATGTCTGAATATAATGTCATTAAATATTGTCATTCAATATGATAGATATATGAGCTTCCAAAGAAAACTGTTATTCAAGCTCTTTCATCATCAACAAGTTTTAGTAATTTAATCATACTTGCCTTATCTTAACGACAATTTTACTCTTTGTTTTATGTTAAATATATTTGATACCTGTAGTTGTCGATTACAATAAAATAAATGACTCATGATTCTCATATTTAGCGTCTCTTATATTTATCAAAATATTTTTTTTATTTGTAATCAATCATATTTATACATCATATACATCAATCCATATAAATAAAATTGTAGAGTCTGGTTAATGGGGGTAAACTTACACTAGAAAAAATGCGCTTTACCTTGTATAAGTGTTTTCAGCATATCACAGATGGTGGTATTATGCTTCAAATTTGATGTTTATTTTAAAATATAGTTTCTTTAATTATAGTACACGTACTTTAAACGTATAATTTTATAGCAAACGCGCTATGCCAAACTATTTCCTGATCGACCGACGATTCAAAAAAACATTTTGAATATAACTCATCTGTATCAATTGCCTATGTAAAGTCTTGCATTTTTTTTCTCCTTTCTTATACGTTCTTGATTATTATATTATGCTTTTTTAACAAACACGGAGATATTTTTTTTTTTTGAAAACTGCTAATAGTTTTTCTTTTTTGTTGCATATAGATGTTATTATTTTAATTATAATTGAAAATTTTTTATGTGCATAAGTATATATATATATATGTTGTATTATATCCTCCACATATTTCCACCGCGTATAAAAAAGACTTAGAATGTTTTTGTTTTTGTTTTTGCATTTTATTCTTTTTCAACAAAATTCAACATTCAAGTAATTTTATATCTTATAAATCTTAGCCTATTTTAATTAAAACTATTGTGTTACATTTTTACTTAAAAAATAGTTATTCATAACTATGAATCAAGTGTCTTCAATATTCCAATTTACATCGACATTGATTATTTATGAGTTGAGTTGTTTTTTTTTTAAATCAATATGCATGTATACATCAATTATGTTAATTATTCGTACGAGATTGAAATTTCTTTTTTCTATTTCAGGTATACTGGGCGATATACAATCCTACTTTTCAATAGGAGATGATCAAGGAGGATTATTACAAGTTAGTTTTTTAATCATGTAATTTCAATCACCATTAAAATAAAACAATGATTAAAATATCTTAAATTACTTTTTAAAAGCTGGTGTACGGAAGAAATCTTGATTTTGAATACAAAGTTTTACAAATTTTACCATAACTGAACTTCTCTCAGGATCCCTGCAGATTTCTATGTAACTGTGGAGAGTCAATTCTGAATTCTGTTTAATCTATTTATATATTTTGTCTTAATTTTTTTCAAGTACTCATATTTGTATTTAAAAAAAATATTATTATTCATTAATTTATCATGTTTTAACTTTCAGACAGTATTTGTGATATCTTATATGGTCTTTGCTCCATTGTTTGGATACTTGGGAGACCGATACAATAGGAAGATTATTATGGCTTCCGGAGTATTCCTATGGAGTCTCACGACGCTTTTAGGTTCTTTTATGAATGTAAGTATTTTATTTAAAGGAACAATCAATGCATTAAAAATATTAACGATAAAATTCTAATAGTATTGTATTTTGAAAAAAAAAACGTTATTGCAATGATTCAATTATTAAATCATCGAACCTAACAAAATAAGCAGGAGAACAAGCATCGTAAAATGATTTTATGGGCACGCCAGTTTTTTGTGAAAGGTTTTGGATGGGTTTTGGATTGAGTTACTCTGATTTTCTTTTTTTCAGAATTTTGGTTTCTTCATTACATTCCGTGCACTAGTAGGAGTCGGAGAGGCTTCATACAGTACGATAGCTCCTACAATAATCAGTGATCTTTTTGCCAAAGACATCAGATCTAAAATGTTGGCATTATTTTATTTTGCAATTCCAGTAGGAAGGTAAGCAATTTATAACTTTGTTGCAAAATTCTATTGTTAAAACTTCATGCAAAACGCATTTTTTGCTGAAAAATTCAAGAGAAAACTTTTCAAAGAAACTTTCTCTTACAACTTGTGGAATATATTCACAAATTTTGTTTAAAAATATTTTTATAGACCAGAGTTAACAAAAAATTAAGTGATAAACAAAGTTACTGAGTAATAAGATGCTTTGAAATAAAATGAAATATTTGCCATTAATAATTTTAGTGGATTGGGATATATTGCCGGATCAGCGATGGCTCATATAGGAGGATCTTGGCACTGGGCTCTACGAGTAACGCCTGCTTTGGGATTAGTTGCTGTAATTTTAATTAAATTTATTCAGGACCCAGTACGAGGACATAGCGAACAAAGTATGGATTTAGAACCAACATCTTACACAGATGATCTGAAGTCATTACTCAAAAAGTAAGTTTGAATAAGTATTGTTCTAGCTATTTAATACTTTATACTATTACTCCACAACAAATTTATAAAATGTTTTTTGAGTTTATTATTCTCATATAATCAATATTTTTTTTCTCAGTCGTTCTTTCATGCTGAGCACTGCTGGATTTACTTGTGTGGCCTTTGTTACTGGTGCCCTAGCCTGGTGGGGACCTAAATTTATTCATTCAGGGATGATTTTGCAGCCAGGAAATCGAGATGTCACTATCAATGAGTATGTATCAAAGTTCGGGAGGATTTTATTGTCAAAATATTACTTCGTGATTAGAGTTGCTGCACTTGTATTGCAGACTTCACCAATACAAATGCACAATCCACTTACATACCAGAATACAAAGTTAATATTGGAAAATGAACTTCTAAATACATCATTATAAAAAAAAAGTATCGGGTAGTAAAATATTTAATGCGATGCGATAGGGTATTTATAGAAATCAATGAATTATTGCCAATATTTTTATGAAAATTTTGAAAATACAATTCTTAACAAATTCAATCACAACAACTTGCTGTAGTTTAAGATAAATTTATTTGACTCTCGTAATTATTTGGTATTCTAGTATGAAGCGAGCATGTGCATTTTGTATTATAAATATGTGTTTTAAAATATATTATAATAAACTGCTTAATATACAAGTTTATATATATATATATATATATATATATATATATATTTTTTTTTGAACTAAAGAAAACTGAATTATTATCAACGTTTTATATATGCAATTTGACATTTGAATGTGTGATCATTCTGCATTTTTTGACTTAACTTATTGCCTGCTAAGTATATACATGTATCAAATATATATATATATATATATATATATATATATATATAAATATATATATATATATATGTATGTATGTATATATATTAGGAACCCTAATATGTGGTGGTTTTTAAATTGGATGTTTTCGAATTATCTTGCTCCCAGGGGCTCTAAAGCAATTTTCTTAAAATTTTAGCACTTAATATTAACTTTATCATAGTACGAAATCCAACTAAAGTTTCTAAGCATGGGTAAAATTCCATTTGTTTTATAACTTAGCGACAAGTGAATCAAAATTTTGAGAATAACATTGTATTTGCTTATTTTGATCATAAATATAATATAAAATTTACAACAAAAATTTGATATATTTCATAAAATAAGTATTTACTTAGGAAGAAGAACGAAGAAACTTTGGTTGGAGTGGGTAATATCTTAAAGTTAATATTAAAAGCTAAAACTTTCAGAAAATTGTTTTTCGGGAAAGGAAATTTGAAAGCATCCATATTAAGGACTACCCTAATATATATAATAGACTAATTGTAAGAAAATTCGACATCAATCGAGGCAGCCTGCATGAAAAAATATCGCTTCACACACGCATCCAAACTTTAAGCCCTATACTCCCATATTGCAGCGTATCGTTCAAGTTTGGTATTGTAGCGATGTTGGCAGGCGTGACGGGCGTGCCGTTGGGCTCGCTGATCGCATCTCGTCTGCGGCCCCTATACCCGTCCTGCGACCCATTGATCTGCGCCACCGGCATGCTGGTTGCGGCCCCACTTTTGTATTTCGCAGCAATAACGCCGGGCTATAACACTAATTTGTGTTTCGCCCTCATGTTCTTTGGACAGGTGTCCATGAACATGAATTGGCCACTTGTTGCGGATATGCTTTTGGTAAGACTCCCTGCCCCAAAATGACTTCGAGCCTAGTTTACATTGATGATGTACTTAATTTTAGACTTCAAGGCTTTATAAGTATACTACCCGATGCAGTGAATTAAGGTTCTGGTAAAAAATAACACTCTGTTAAGCCAATCACTATTTATAATGTACAATTTTAGTACTCATAATATTGGACTAAGAGCTAGTGTAGCTGTTGAATAACGTTGTTTTTGTAAGGCTAAAAATATTTGTACTGGGCTTAGGCTGGACAGAATTGCCTGGCATTTCACATTTTTTCAACATTTATTTATTAACTGTTTAACTTTGCCTTTGCAAAGTTTATTTTAATTCATAATCATTTTGCTCATAAAAGTGAACCTTTCGGCTCATCTGGCATGTTGAAATGGTTTGGCAATTTGATTTTAATTAAATCATATCATAGTTTGAAGCTTACAGAAACATGTTGAATTTTTGTTTTTTTTTTACATTTTCCATCACTTTTGCTGAAACTTGCCCAACCATCATTTTCATACTTAGCTCACTAAGAATCACCAGTACAAAAGCTTTACTTTGCTGTAAAGACAGGAACATTGCTATTTAAAAGATTCACTATCTCCCAGCCTATATTTTGTTTTACAGATTTCAAATCTTAAACTATGCATAAAATTGTCTATGTAAATTAGGCTTAATCCTCTCCATCTTCTTTTCCACATTTGATTTCAGGCAAAATGTATATGTTTTATTTCGTTTTGTTTTATATTTATAGTTTTCAGGTAACAATAATTGGTTTTACAAAACTGCTTATTTATGATTTATACATCTAAGCAAAATATTTTCAATATTATTTTTCAGAATAAAATTTACTTTATTTTTTAAGATATGTCTGAGGATCAGGTTGGTGAACTACTGGTAAAGCTTTAGCATTGATATATTCTTAAAATAATTACTCAGTTGTTGGATAAATGATAAACCTTTTAAATAATTATAATGGTATATTCTTGCTGCTTCTAATTAAAAGCAACCCGTTTATCTTTCAATTATTATGCTACAATAAACATTATAATACTTTACAAGACAATAAAAAATACTTACTACATACAAATATTATATTACAAATTCGTATTTATTCAAAAAAAAAATATATTATTTATTATCAAGTATTTCTCGATATATACATTTTTTGAAGAATTTATTATTTATTATTTATAATGCTGCTGTAAAAGGTATGTCATTATTTTAATAGTAAAATGATTTAATGAATGTGCATGAATCACATTTCTATGACTGATCATCATATTTGATATCAATAATATTCTTACATAATACATAGTAGTTTTCAACTACATTCAATAGTTTATGAATTGTAAACAATTAACTGAAGATTTTAAATTTTTGAGATACTCTTTGACTTTATAATTAAATTCTATTAAATGAAATTATTTAACTAACTTGATGCAAATAGCAATGCCAATTGAAATATTTGTTACAAATTTTGTTTGCTTAAATGTAATTATCATAATTAAGCTATTTGTAAAAGCCAATTCATAGCAGAGTCCCTGATGTTTAGAAAGGAGTAAAGCGTTTATTTTGTATGAAAAAAATATTGTCATAAAATATGTTAGCAAAATGTTTTTTGTAATAATTTCAGGGTCGCTTTTGTATTTGGTCTTCTAACTATGATTTCTGGTCTTGTGGGTGTTCCTCTTGGCTCATATCTTAGTCAGAGTTTAAAGAAAACTTATCCTAGAGCAGACCCTTTGCTGTGTGCTGCTGGTTTATTAATTAGCACACCTTTATTAGCCGCTGGAATGCTGGTTGTTCAGTTGAATTCAACAGTTGCCTTTATTCTAATGTTTTTTGGTGAACTTGCATTAAATTTGAATTGGGCAATAGTAGCTGATATATTATTGGTAAGAATGCCATTTATGAATAATATGGCTAATGATTTTTTATGTATGCCACTTTCGATTCTATATTAATTCACAGATGTTTGTAAAAGTAGTTCTGTGATTATATTGATTATTGCTCTTTGTTAAAAAACAAGCTGGTTGCCCACTTCAAATTATAATGTTAAAGTAGCTTTTATCATAAGATAAAGACATTATACATTGAAGTGCGACCTGCTAAATTTTTTTTTAGAACCTAACCTCAAAATTTTGCTTTCATATTTATATGATTTTTGTTTATTATTCAGCTTAAATCTTCAAAATAGCTGTGATATTTTGTGTTTTCAATTGATTTAATTATATATATATATATATATATATATATATTGTAATTTCATCGATATAACTAATTTTGCTTTAAATTCATAATTCTAATTACAATGATATTATTATGACAAATTCAAGATAAATAAGTGTTTAGTTTTTAAGAAAATGTTGATTTAATGCAATTGCTTTTTGCAGTATGTGGTCATTCCAACTCGTAGATCTACAGCGGAAGCATTCCAAATTTTAATATCGCATACATTTGGAGATGCAGGAAGCCCATACTTGATTGGTGTTGTAAGTATAATTATTTTTCTAGTCTCATGTCTTAAATATGTGAAGGTAAAACTGGAACTATTTTTAGAACTGAAATTTCAAACCATGCAAGTGTTTAAACTAGTTAATTTTCTTTCTTTTTTTTTAATTATGAAGTAATGGAGGATTTTTTTTTTACAAAATTAAAATTTACAAGTAGCAGTAAATTGACTAAAGGTTATTATAAAAATACAATTAAATATATGTAAGTAAAGTATTAGTCAATGTTTGTTTAATTTGAATAGGTTTATCTTAATAGATCTGATTCAGTGCGACTTTGCTATATATATATATATATATCAACCTTTCGGAACTAGGTATGTTCCATCTTTGAAACATCGACAGTAAATAAATAAATGTTTATTTTTGGATTTTTTGTTCAAAGCTCTACAAAATATATATGTATATATAGCTATATAAAGCTATAGTAAAAAATCTTCCTAAAATGATTTGATAGTTATCATCACATATACTGTAGTACTTAATGTAATATTATTTTCAAAGATGTCATTTTGTGTGATATACCTGTCATAGCGCATGAAAGTTTCTCAAAAAACACTTGAGATTGTTAGTACAATGCTATTGTTATTATAAAAGGCTTACCTTATATTTATTATTGTAAATATTTATTATTTACAGATTTCTGAGGCGTTAAAACCTTTGCTTAGTCCATCGGGTGTAGCTGTTACTGCATCAGCGTTATTACTAAATACACAAAGTGAATCAAGCATTGATAAAATTTCATTGGTAGAAAAATATAGTAATTATAATTCATCTGATTATAGTTTGGTAAGTAATAGATCATTAAAATTGTTATTAATTAATCATTATATATTGCTTTTATAAGATTTTTATGAATATGTAATGTATTTGATAAAGTCCTACATTCATGTTTTATACATACTCATGTTAATATAATTTAATTCATAATAGGGTAACTTTAAGACAAAACTGTTAATTTATAATTTATATATCTATAATTGCATAATTTTGAACTTGATATCAATCAGTATCGATATGAAATTAATTTTAAATTCTAATCTTCAATTGTACTTCATTATTTTTGCTTTTTCAAAGTTTGTGTCTAATCAAATGAAGGATATAGTTAGTATAGCAGCCGAACATTATTTATGAACTAATCTTTTTCAAGATTATTACACACAATATTTATTATAGCAGTGAATACTTACTGTAAGACTATTTTTAATGATTCGTTTTGTTGCATTATTCCTTAAGAAAATGTTCGAACTCCATCATTTATGTTTATATACTTTACATGGTCTATAGTACTTTCATATTTTTACATGAATGATTTATTTTAGGATGGACCAAATTTTCGTTCAATGCAATACGCTCTCTTCACCACCAGTTTTGTGGAAGTTCTTGGCGGTTTATTCTTCTTGTTAACTGCTGTTTATATAACAAGAGATCGCTCAAAAGCGGAAATGGCTGTAGAAGGTTAGTGATCATGCTGTATTATTTTTATTTAAATAATTGTTCTTTTGTAGTAGCTGTTGTTCAATATGTAAAATTACAGTGTATTGTAGAATTCATATATCCATTGATTAATATTATGTTCAATATTTTAGAACACTGTGAAGTTTTTGCTTGCATATTTCCTGGAATAGGTGTAAATTTTAGAATAAGCATTGGTTAACAGTAACTTAAGTTTAAAAAAGTTCACTGAAGATCTACATGATCTTTGTTGAAATTTATCATTTAATCGTGAAGCATGCCAGTATATTAAAATTGATATCAAATTTGAATTGCTATTAACCATGTTTCTAATAATAGCTTGTGATTTGTAATTTAGAAATATATAGCTCTAAATTTTATTATATGTACATATTTACTCACATCAAATTAACATTAAGACGTTTGCATGTCACATTACATTTTTTTAGTTTAGCATCAGTGCATTTCATTATATTTCTTTTCATCTCACTTACAAAATGCCAGAATTAGTTTGCGCGATAAAAACTCCAAAGGGACACAAATGGCACAAATCTAAAATTAGCGTTAGAAATTACATTTATACATACCTTTATGGTTTATTTGATTGATGTTATCCAAAACCAATTTAAACCGCGCAACATACTTTTGAGTACCTGTCGCATTTCGATGTTGGATATAAATTATCTTATGATTTGTTTCAAATCGCTATTTATTTATATTGTACCAGTTTTAATTATTATCTTGATTTTCTTATTTTTCGACTTTTTTTTTTTGTAAATTCATGGAGATCTACTTTTTATTTTTTCATAAAAATTAATTTTAATTTGTAACTTAACGTTTTTGCATAATAATTGTAAATAATCAGAAAACTTAGAATAAAATAGCGATTAAATAAATCATGTTTTTTAAATCAAAATTACTGACTAAGAACTTTGGCTTTTAATTTTTTTATAAAATTTTGTTTAATTTTTTTCATAATTTCATTCATTTTGAAAAATTCATTTTCATGATTTTTTTAAAAATTGAAAATAAAAATTCGAAATTATTAATGTGAGAAGCTATTTTGACCCGTTTTGGGAATTTTGTATACGGCAATTTTCTCATTCATATCATTTTGTTTCATATAAGCATACCATTTGTACGTAACATTTTCAGATATTTGATCAAAGTTAAAAATTTTATTATCAAATAAGAGCAAAAACCGCGACGAATATTGCTCTTAGAAAAACTCGGGGCACAAGGTGGAATTTCTGGACTGTCCCGGCCAAATCGGGACTATGTATAATATATACATATCGGCAATATGTATATTATACTAGGTTACCACTAAATATAATCGAAGCTACACGTACTAAATATGTACATTTAAAATTTTAAATTCCGTTGTACAAATTGAGATATATTTATTTCTCACAACTGGATTCCTTCCAGATGGCCGAATGGAACTTAGTGAAAGTTCAACTAGTGGCGATTCAAATGCATATTCACCTTCATAACATCATGAGATAGATATAACATTCATCGGGGTTAGTTTTACATCTATATTTTAGTTTTTACAAAAAAATTTTTAAGAATTTATAATATATTGAATGCTGGTATGAAACTCGATTTTGTCTATAGCATTAGTTGTAAATATTAATATATAAATAATTGTTTATTATATGATTAAGTTCAATTGTATTAAAGTTTACAAAAACAGTGTAAACCATGAAAATGTCAGGACTTTAGAGTTTGAAATATTTCAAATAGTTCAGTCATTTAAGCTTAAATTAGGTAAGAATCTTGAAATTCGAGATACCCAGCTGTAATTCTGTAAATACTTGAATATTGACACTAAAAAGTTGTCTCAAAACCTACATATCGTAGATACACGCTATCATATGTAGGTTTTGAGACAATTTGTTAGTGTCAAAATACAAGTATTTGCAGACTTACAGCTGGGTATCTCGAATTCCGAGGTGAACTTACTATAATGACTGGACTAAAATAGAACTTATAGTTGGTCTAAAATAGTTTGTTCATTTATTTTGGGTTTGATACCTATTGATATGGCATGGAATCATAGAAAATAGCGATTTTTTATTACATTACTTGTCTTGATGTAAAACATTATTATTTAGATTGTTAATATTACATAGTTGCATGAATTTTTACCTCCTATAAATATAATCATTTAATTTTTTTAAATGTTCTAAATTTATTCAAGTTTATGATATGCAAGTACATATACTATATACTATTTATCCTTAATATGTTTTATTTTTTTCTTCAGGTCACGTAGAAACTCATTGTGCTGATGAATATCAAGATATTTAAATTTAATATATATAAAAAAATATTTTAATTTAGAGGCTTTGTTTTAAAAGTTTTATTATATACGAATAATTATTATCATATCAAGAATGTACGAACAGTATGCATGTATTATTAGGTAAATTTAAAGTGGCTATAAGACTGAACCACTAATTTAATTTATATAATTAAGCTGTACAAAATTGATTTTTAATAACATAATAAAATTTTATATTTAAAATTAAAGTCTTTATATACATCATTATAAAAAGATTGTGTTAGGAATATAAAAAAAAGTCAAATCAAGTCAGTTTTTTAATTAATTTGAGTTTAAATGTTTTTACTATTACTTCATATTCACAAAAAATTTTTTTATCATGGGTTAAACCAAGATAACAAAATCATATGCACATGAAATCAGTTTAGAAACACCAACTATCTGATGCCATTATATTCAACATATTTTTTTTATAATAAACATATTATATCAAACGTCGCCTTTTACTTAAATAATCACCGATCACACCAATAGTTCAAAAGGTAGGTTAGGAAAAGTAGAACGACAACACCCAGTTAGACGTCGAAGTAATTTTTAAGCTTCGCGCCTTAACACCTCAGGACAAAAAACAGCAGTGTTGTACACGTTGTGGTATTTACTTATTGTTGAAGTTAATATTTAGATATAACAAACGAACAAGTCATAAGGCCGAAAAAAGCAGAGTTCATGTGGCCTGCGCTGGCGTAATTGGTAGAGTGATGGCTTCGTACCAAAAGTGTACCGAGTTGGAATCATACCTCAGGACAAAAAACAGCAGTGTTGTTCACGTTGTGGTATTTACCTATTGTTGAATAACCTAAATTTAATATTTAGATATAACAAACTAACAAGTCAAAAGACCGAAAAAAAGCGGAGCCGATGTGGCCTGCTCTGGCGTAATTGGTAGAGTGGTGCCTTCGTACCAAAAGGGTACCGAGTTCGAATCATACCTCAGGACAAAGAACAGCAGTGTTGTTCACGTTGTGGTGTTTACTTATTGTTGAATAACATAAATTCAATATTTAGATATAACAAACTAACAAGTCATAAGGCCGAAAAAAAGCGGGGTTGATGTGGCCTGTGCTGGCGTAATTGGTAGAGTGATGGCTTTGTACCATAAGGGTACCGAGTTCGAATCATACCTTAGGACAAAAACAGCAGTGCTGTCCACGTTGTGGTATTTACTTATTGTTGAATAACATAATGTTAATATTTAGATATAACAAACTAACAAGTCATACGGCCAAAAAAAGCAGGGTTTATGTGGCCTGTGCTGGCGTAATTGGTAGAGTGATGGCTTCGTACCATAAGGGTACCGAGTTCGAATCATACCTCAGGACAAAAAACAGCAGTGTTGTTCACGTCGTGGTATTTACTTATTGTTGAATAACATAAAGTTATTATTTAGATATAACGAACTAACAAGTCATAAGGCCGAAAAAAGCAGAGTTAATGTGGCCTGTGCTGGCGTAATTGGTAGAGTGGTGGCTTCGTACCAAAAGGGTACCGAGTTCAAATCATACCTCAGGACAAAAAACAGTAGTGTTGTTCACATTGTGGTATTTACTTATTGTTGAATAACCTAAATTTAATATTTAGATATAACAAACTAACAAGTCAAAAGACCGAAAAAAAGCGGAGCCGATGTGGCCTGCTCTGGCGTAATTGGTAGAGTGGTGCCTTCGTACCAAAAGGGTACCGAGTTCGAATCATACCTCAGGACAAAGAACAGCAGTGTTGTTCACGTTGTGGTGTTTACTTATTGTTGAATAACATAAATTTAATATTTAGATATAACAAACTAACAAGTCATAAGGCCGAAAAAAAGCGGGATTGATGTGGCCTGTGCTGGCGTAATTGGTGGAGTGATGGCTTTGTACCAAAAGGGTACCGAGTTCGAATCATACCTCAGGACAAAAAACAGCAGTGTTGTTCACGTTGTGGTATTTACTTATTGTTGAATGACATAAATTTAATATTTAGATATAACAAACGAACAAGTCATAAGGCCGAAAAAAGCGGAGTTGATGTGGCCTGTGCTGGCGTGATTGGTAGAGTGATGGCTTCGTACCAAAAGGGTACCGAGTTCGAATCATACCTCAGGACAAAAAACAGCAGTGCTGTCCACGTTGTGGTATTTACTTATTGTTGAATAACATAATGTTAATATTTAGATATAACAAACTAACAAGTCATAAGGCCAAAAAAAGCAGAGTTTACGTGGCCTGTGCTGGCGTAATTGGTAGAGTGATGGCTTCGTACCAAAAGGGTACCGAGTTCGAATCATACCTCAGGACAAAAAACAGCAGTGTTGTTCACGTTGTGGTATTTACTTATTGTTGAATAACATAAAGTTATTATTTAGATATAACGAACTAACAAGTCATAAGGCTGAAAAAAGCAGAGTTAATGTGGCCTGTGCTGGCGTAATTGGTAGAGTGGTGGCTTCGTACCAAAAGGGTACCGAGTTCGAATCATACCTCAGGACAAAAAACAGCAGTGTTGTTCACGTTGTGGTATTTACTTATTGTTGAATAACCTAAATTTAATATTTAGATATAACAAACTAACAAGTCAAAAGACCGAAAAAAAGCGGAGCCGATGTGGCCTGCTCTGGCGTAATTGGTAGAGTGGTGCCTTCGTACCAAAAGGGTACCGAGTTCGAATCATACCTCAGGACAAAGAACAGCAGTGTTGTTCACGTTGTGGTGTTTACTTATTGTTGAATAACATAAATTTAATATTTAGATATAACAAACTAACAAGTCATAAGGCCGAAAAAAAGCGGGGTTGATGTGGCCTGTGCTGGCGTAATTGGTGGAGTGATGGCTTTGTACCAAAAGGGTACCGAGTTCGAATCATACCTCAGGACAAAAAACAGCAGTGTTGTTCACGTTGTGGTATTTACTTATTGTTGAATGACATAAATTTAATATTTAGATATAACAAACGAACAAGTCATAAGGCCGAAAAAAAGCGGAGTTGATGTGGCCTGTGCTGGCGTGATTGGTAGAGTGATGGCTTCGTACCAAAAGGGTACCGAGTTCGAATCATACCTTAGGACAAAAAACAGCAGTGCTGTCCACGTTGTGGTATTTACTTATTGTTGAATAACATAAAGTTATTATTTAGATATAACGAACTAACAAGTCATAAGGCCGAAAAAAGCAGAGTTAATGTGGCCTGTGCTGGCGTAATTGGTAGAGTGGTGGCTTCGTACCAAAAGGGTACCGAGTTCAAATCATACCTCAGGACAAAAAACAGTAGTGTTGTTCACGTTGTGGTATTTACTTATTGTTGAATAACGTAAAGTTAATAATTAGATATAACAAACTAACAAGTCATAAGGCCGAAAAAAAGCACAGTGGATGTGGCATGTGGTGGCGTAATTGGTAGAGTGATGGCTTCGTACCCAAAGGGTACCGAGTTCGATTCATCCCTCAAAACACAAAACACAAAACAGCCGTTCTGTGTTGACGTTGTGGAACGAGGCATGCACGGAATCACATCCGTTCGAATTTGGAACGCCGGGTATGCTCTCTCGATCGAGTGGAGAGTAATAAACCTCGCAGCATCCCGAAACAGGAAGGAAGGGAGAGAGGAGTAATAGGGGATGTGGGGTTCGCAAACGCGCGCCCTCGTGGTCCTACCACAAAAAGGGAGGTGGGGTCCAGGATTCTGCGCGGCGACCAACCCTGCGAGGCACCCACGAGTGCGATGGGGGGTTGTGTAAGAGGAGGAAATGGAGGGGGGTGAGAGAAAGTGGTGAAAGGGGTAAGAAAGGGGAAAAAAAACTACTACTCCGGTGAAAGTTAGCTGTTAACGACTGCTAGGCGACGGTTGCTAGGTAACGGTTGCTAGGCAACGAAATTCGCGAAATAACTGTGCTGAAAATTTGGGGACGGTTGCTAGGTAACGGTTGCTAGGCAACGAAATTCGCGAAATAACTGTGCTGAAAATTTGGCGACGGTTGCTAGGTAACGGTTGCTAGGTAACAAAATTCGCGAAATAACTGTGCTGAAAATTTGGCGACGGTTGCTAGGTAACGGTTGCTAGGCAACGAAATTCGCGAAAAACGTGTGAAAATTCGCGAATTTCGTTGCCTAGCAACCGTTACCTAGCAACCGTCGCCAAATTTTCAGCACAGTTATTTCGCGAATTTTGTACCTAGCAACCGTTACCTAGCACGACCGCCAAATTTTCAGCACAGTTATTTCGCGAATTTTCGTTGCCTAGCACCGTTACCTAGCAACCGTCGCCAAATTTTCAGCACAGTTATTTCGCGAATTTCGTTGCCTAGCAACCGTTACTAGCAACCGTCGCAAAATTTCAGCACAGTTATTTCGCGAATTTTGTTGCCTAGCAACCGTTACCTAGCAACCGTCCCCAAATTTTCAGCACAGTTATTTCGCGAATTTCGTTGCCTAGCAACCGTTACCTAGCAACCGTCGCCAAATTTTCAGCACAGTTATTTCGCGAATTTCGTTGCCTAGCAACCGTTACCTAGCAACCGTCGCCAAATTTTCAGCACAGTTATTTCGCGAATTTCGTTGCCTAGCAACCGTTACCTAGCAACCGTCGCCTAGCAGTCGTTAACAGCTAACTTTCACCGGAGTAGTGAGTTTTTCTCCCCATATCTCCGTGACCCCTTTCTTACCCCTTTCACCACTTTCTCTCACCCCCTCCATTTCCTCCTCTTACACAACCCCCCATCGCACTCGTGGGTGCCTCGCAGGGTTGGTCGCCGCGCAGAATTCTGGACCCCACCTCCCTTTTTGTGGGTAGGACCACGAGGGCGCGCGTTTGCGAACCCCACATCCCCTATTATTCCTCTCTCCCTTCCTTCCTGTTTCGGGATGCTGCGAGGTTTATTACTCTCCACTCGATCGAGAGAGCATACCCGGCGTTCCAAATTCGAACGGATGTGATTCCGTGCATGCCTCGTTCCACAACGTCAACACAGAACGGCTGTTTTGTGTTTTGTGTTTTGAGGGATGAATCGAACTCGGTACCCTTTGGGTACGAAGCCATCAGTCTACCAATTACGCCAACCACATGCCACATCCACTGTGCT